AGTAGGCAGGAGAAAAGACAATGAGATTCTCATCTCTGCATTTAGTGGTGCCACTAAAGTGTACAATACCTTGTTATGAGAGCTCCACGTATTTGCCTAGGGCAATGATACTCAAAGTAGCTGGTTTGCAAACTGTTGTCTATCCAAGATGAGATAAGGAGCTTGTGCCAGTATGAACCAAATATGAACCAACACACTGCCTTCTTCATTAAGAAAGACTTGCCAAGAAAATAATGTCAGATGAGCCGAACAGTGGGCTTAGTGGTATGGTAGGCGGAGTTGGGGTAGAGAGGTTAGACTGTGTGTCCATAGTCTCATGAGGAATTTACTATAATTTCTCCTATAGGAGAAATGAGAGAGACCAACATTTCTGAAAAACCTTGGGCATCTTATTGAAGCTTCTATGGCAATACCTAAGGCTCTAGAAACTGCATTGATGATGTGCATTTATAAAGATTTGCCATTGGTATAGAAACAGTACCTATGGCATGTCTTCTAATCCTAGGCAAGGGTGCAAGCTAGTTAGGAACATGGTTCTTTTCGCAGGTGGGTGCGAAACCCACTTACTTTTTTTTTTAAGAAAAATAAAATGAGGGAGTGGGTAGAGAGTAAGGTGGAAGATGAAGACATGTTACACTGTGAATCACATTCTATTTTGATTAGTAGCAACTAATGGAGAATTAGGACTAGAATGATTCTTATCAGATCAAAACCGAAACCTCTCTACTGGTTATTTAGCTAACACTATAAATTTTTCCAAAGTACTTCACTTTCTTATTTGATTCACACAACAACTCTGTCAGGTTGGTAAAGTAACCTTCTTTTGATTGACAAGCCTAGATGCTCACAGATAGAGTCACTAAGATTCCATGGCCAGTAAGAGGCAGAGGTACACTGAGCCTTTTTTTGAGTACTGTTTAATATACCTTTCATTATGTCATGCTCGTTTAACCAACATGACTGGAATGTGACTGGAGGTATTCATGAAATAAAATCTAGTGGCACAAAATCCAAGGTGATTTCTGCCACACCAGAAGATAAAACATTAAGGACGTAGACACCAAAATGGGTTTTCAGTTGATTCAGTCATAAGTTAACTCCAAGATATAATAGCCAAGGAGATCAAGACCCAAGATTCTCTATGACTATTCTATGGCAGGCGCAAAGAAAAGGGGTGAGACAGATTAATTGCCCAATGAATGGTGTGTGCTAGTCTCTTCTGCTCTATTTATCTAGAAAAATAAGTAAGCATTGTAAACAAAATTCCCAGAATGGAAATTCCAAATTAATCCCAGGTCTCTGTTTTTCAAGAGGAACGTGTGAAAGATCACTGCTAAGAAAAGTTTTGCATCACCTGACATTTAATTTGAAATCATTTATCTTCAAGTCAGCAACAATTAGGTGCTACTATCAGCCATTCATCATGAATTGCAGAATACATTTCCCCCAGAGGAGAAAGAACAGTGCCTTGAATAGGGAAAGTCAAGGAAAACCACCACAGTTGAGATCAGATGTTTTAAAAATAAATGTCCTTTACTTGTCCCCTCATGAGGCACGTAAGTTATATTGTGATATCACTGCTTTGTCCCTTGTACCATACAAAAGTGGCACCATGCTAGCGAAATTCTAATAAACAGAATTCAGTACTTAGCCCTGTATTATAAAAATGGACCATCCAAAACACTTATATTTCCATGGGAAAAAACATATGCTAATTAGTTAACATATATGGCTCGCGAGACAGGCACATGGTACACTCAACAAGAGAAGAAAATAGTAGTGTGGTCACCTTTTAATTGCGTGGGTTTGAATCTATAAGCCAATTATAATACTCCATTAACTCTGCCTAATGAAACCAATATGGAATTAACATGAGATACACATTTTAGAAAGAAATGTGTATCTGTCACTACCTCAGTAGGTAAATTTGAGGCATTAACTTTGGAGAAACAATACAAACTCTCAGAAGAAAAAGTAGTAGGGGGAGTGAAGAGAAAGAAAGAACTGGAGGAGCTGAATGTTACTTAAATGTAATGTTAACTGCATCCATGTGCAGAATCATTATTTGAAGGTCATGGGAACAGAATTTAGTTGGCCTCAAGTGGAGGTTTGGGTGTGATAAAGTCAGAATTTTGGGGGTAGAAGCATGCTTTGACTCTATCCTATATGTAATGTTGTATTAAGCTTTTATTATGTAGTGATAATACACATACGGTTTCCAAAAGTGGGTAGCTAACTATCTAATTTTAATGGATTTCCCTGATTGAAGGAAGTTGGTTCCTTCCAAGCTGATGAACCTATGTGTTTATGTTTCAAATAAATAGTATACTGAAATAAAACGACTATGCTACTCTCAGGGGTTTGATCATATCAGTGGTATCTCTTTCCATTCAGGAGTTGTGGCAGGATGCTATCAAAACCATTATTTACTAATTAAAGGTTTCATATGAAAGAAATCAGTAGCCCAAAAGAAAGTGGGAGAAAACATTGCGGCTGCTCCTGCTCTAAAAGCAATTTTGATTTGTCTGATTGTGTGGACAAGTCCACTCTCTTCTAGAATCCTTTAATCATGCACTGGCACAGTCAACAAATTAGGTCACTGGGCATAGATTCTAATAAGAACAGTGGCTAAATTAAGTCAATTTGATTTAATGTGTAAAATGACTTCATCATTCTTTTATATTTAGAAAGTTTAAAAAAAAATCACATCATTGTATTAGAGAAAGGTCCACTTTTCAGAAGCCAGGGGTAGATCAGTTATTATTTTTGCTGAAAGCAGATGGTGGTCATATCCTAAAATTACATGTTACAGTGACTTGACATTGAGCTGGACATTTTAAATATAGGACATTATAGAATGACATTTAAATTATATACTAAAAGTAAGACAGGTTAGATATGTTTGAATTTAAAATACAAAGATAAATGAAAGAAAATGTCCTCAGTTGGCCAAACTAGATCTGAGTTAATAAAATAAGCCCTCCCTTTCAAGATGTGTCATGAAAGTAACAATGACAACAGTGATTTAAAATACACTTCTGAATTGAAATACAGAAGTAAATGTGCTTGACATAGTGTTTATTTTATTGTCAGCTTGCAAGGTTGTCCCTGGAGGACTCTTCGTCCTTCAGTGGTCCTAAAGCTTTGAAATTTACTTATTCTAGATGCTTCTTCACAGTTTCTCTGGTCTCCAAGTTGTAGTGTGCTGTATACTACAAAAATTCATCATGGAGCACAGACAATTTCACTTCTAACTAAGGAACACTAATTTTGGGGAAAATTCTTGCTATTTAAGACTCTTGCCAAACAATCTACAAATGGAAAGGAGTCTGGAGAGTGTGAACACTATTGGCATGTATGAAGTATTAGGTGATAAAGAAGCAATGATGAGAAGCAAGTGATGCTGACTCTTGCATTTGTTAGATCTTATTCTGCATATCTATTAATAATGATACACCTTATGGATGCAATTTCATGTTTATAACACTGGGCATTGGCAGCATTGTGCACCTGTGTTTTCCATGCCTTCCCATCTGCTGCCTACAGTCATTCAGATTCAGGTGACGGAAATATTTCAGATAAAAGTTAATTAGCCTGCACTCTGCAGATCAAATCTCTACAGTTCAGCATTAAATAGAAATCTTCTGGGCAACTGCTGAAAGTAGCCTGAGGCTGCCCTTCCTAAAATTAAAAATGTAAGATTCATTTTTCTAGAAAAGAAACCTTTAGTACTCTCTTTATATTTTACACATAGATTTGATCAAACTTTTCACATATATTCGCTCTTACTCATTTTATTTTTTTATCTCTGTATATATATCGAAAGTAGAAGAGAGATTAGAAATATTTTTTTCCAGCTACAGTGACAGAATGAAAATGATATAGAGTTAGAAATTCTCCCGAGTCTGGACTCTATTATTAGTACACCAACCAATGTTGATCAAGCCCCAGAACTTTCCTCAGTTTCTCAGTTTTTAAAATGGGACCAACACCAACTACCTATTTGTTTCATAAATACTTTGTGCAAGACTCAATAATGCTTGATATTTTATTAAAAAATAATGCACAAAATGCAGAAAACTCCTATTGCTAAAATGACCCCACCTTCTCTGTAAATATTTATCTTATTAATTGTCAACAGTTAAGTTCTCAAGTAGCTTCCTTTATTGAAACTATATATATATTGTTAACCCATAGGAAACTAAATCATTATAGTCTTCTTTACTTCTAGATAATTGGAGCAGAAATGGGCTGAACACAACTAAATATAGCCAGTCTTTGAACCCATATCACATAGAGAGTAGGAACAAAGAAACAATCCCAAATGAGTCCTTCCATCCATTTTTACGGTATCAGATAATATTTCTAATGCCTTTCAATACCCAAGACTAATTAACCACTCTACCTATTGCTTCTGTACTAATTGCAGATTTCCTGTTTACTCAAAGGAATTCAGAGGGAGGTGTTTTCTTCTTTACACCGTCGCCTAAAGCTCAGGGACATCGTCTAAAGAAGTCGGAAGGGGCAGGTGCTCTTTCCGACAGGTGCTTTTAGAGTTCCTCAGGGGAGTGAAAGACTCTGGCAGTCTGGGATCTTCTATGCCCATTCCCCGCGCTAGTCATTAGAACCTCGACTGCTCTCCACGCTCCCGAACTTCGACTTCTATTCAATACTTCCATAGGGTATCCACTATGTTTCTCCCAACTGGTCAAAACGTGAAGATTTTTTCGCATATTCTCCCACTTCCTTACTTCCATCTGCTACTCTACCTCTCATTTTATTTCCATCTGCGCTTTAAAATGTTTTATTTTACTTCTACTGAGATCCTTCTACCTGTAAGCTACGGATATGGTCCGATCCTTAAACAATATCAAAGTTGCAAAGCCCCACGACCCGCAGGTCTTCACCCGCGTTCTCTTCCTCCGCCCACCCTCCGCCCCCGCTACCATCCCGGCCCCCAGCGGTGCCCATCTCCACTCCACGCCCCAGACTCCTCTCACCTGACTCTCCCGCGGAAACTCGTGGCGCACGATGCTGATAACTGGAATGTGCAGGACGGAGCTGACCAAGTCGAGCTCCATCATCTCGCCCAGGCCCTGGGGGAAGGCGAGCAGCGCCGATACCCCTTGCACCACCACGGTGTGACACACGCTCTGCAGAAAGGAGAAAGGGTCACTGCTCCACGGCGAGCTAGGGGAGGAGAAGGGCAAGAGCGGCAGATCGCCCAGGCCCGCCTCGATGGCCATCACGACTTCCAAAGACAGGTTGTAGGGCAGCAGCCCTTCCACTCGGTTCAGGTTGTCCACGGCGAAGAGGAGGGCATCCCGAGGCCACAGGGTCTCGGCCCGGTCGCCCTCCCCGGGCTTCCGTGCGCTCGGCGGCCCCCGGCCATACAGGGCGCTCCCCAACCAGCGTGCGCCCGGCGAGGGCGCCGGGGGCCGCCAAGTACCTGGCTCAGGTTCATCTCGCTGGGCGCCTGTCCGGCTGCCGTCCGGGGCGCGGCTGGCCGTGCGGGGGGCCGTGGTCCAGGGCTGCAAGTGCACCGCGCCCACCCTCACCGCGTGTCCGATGCGCTTGAGGATCTGGCAGGGTTGCGGGTGCGAGGAGGAGCCGGGCACCCCGGCCAGCACCAGTGCGCAGGGCGGCGGCAGCAGCAGACAGACCCTGCTCAGCAGCCACCACAAACTCAATCTCCTCATTACTGAGACCCGCAGGGAGAAAGCGCGCCCCCTCCTGACCCCGGCTCTCCCCCGGGCAGCCTCCGCCTAAGGTCCCCACCCCCAGGTTCCGCTGGCAGCTCACTCCGCGTGGCGAAGCTGTCCCAGGAGCTGAAGCGGACTCCGGGCCATCCAAGTTGGAACCTAGCGCGCCCTAGGCAGTCTCGGGACCTGCTCCCAAGTCCCTCCGCCTCGCATCCTCTGCCCGCCCGGTCCCTGCGCTGAGCGGGGCGGGCGGCGCTGGTCACCCGCGGCTTGGGTGCTTGTTCCCCGCCCGCCCCATCCGCAGGGCGGCTTGGGCACTGCGTCCGGCCCCGCGGGGAAGCAGGACTGAGAAGCGGCTGGGATTCCTAGGGGGCAACGGTGACCGAGGAGGCAAGGTTCTCACTTGGATTCTTTTCTCGCCCAGGCGAGACCCACTTATTTCCTTGGGGTCGCGCAGGAGAAGGCGTTCACGCCCGGGGTGCGGAAAAGCAGCCAAATCCTCCTTGCTCCACCGTCGGCCACCCTCTCGCGGGCTCTCCCAGCGCTGGCTTCATTTTTCTTCTTCCCTCGCTACTTCCTCTCTTCCTTTCTTTCGTCCTCTCTCCGCCCAGTCGCCGCCGCCGCTGGCTTCCTCAGAGGAGCGACGCGACTGGCCAGCAAAGGGTGGTTCTGCTGGGAGCGCAAAGTTCTCCCCGCCTCAGCCGGCGCCTCTCTGCTGCTGAGCCCTGGCGCCAGCCTGTCGCTTGGCTGTGCTAGACGCCCACTGTTGGTGAGATTCTCGGGTGGCGCTTCCCGCGCCCCTGGCAAGTTCTCTCCCCTCGAAGGCTAGGGGTCATAGTTTGCGAAATTCCTTGCGACCTAAGAGGGAGAATTCTGGATTTGGAGTTGCGCCCGAGGAATCTGAAATCCAGTAGGTTGAAAGAGGCCGTGATTTTAAGAAGCTTCTCTTCGATGTCTTTCTTTAACGGTTTTTCTAGCTGAGGGTATTAAAGCAAGAATTATATACACGTTGAATCTCGGCTTCGTGCTCTCTGGCTCATGGGCCTTTGCCAATTTTTAAGGATCCCAATGTTTTGGGGTTCTCAAAATTATAACAGTGAATTCGAAGCAATTATTTGATCAAGAAATTAAAGAGATTTAAAATACTTTGAAAGTATACTTTCAAGCACAGTCAACAGCAGTTTGTAGTTTAGACCAAGGGTCCTCCAGATCACTGTTACTAGTAAGTGCTTTCATTTGTGTGGTAATACAATGAGGTCAGTGAGTTATGATTTGATCTTTACCTCCATGATCTGAAAGATCTGGAGTTAGAAGGAAGGAGAGGGTTAAGGGTAGGCCTGTGGTTTCCACACATACAGTACATTTATTTTATTTTATGCCACAGTTTCATTTAGAAGGAGAGTAGCAGAGATATCCATGGGGCAGAGCAAGCACCCAGGATCAGGAGTTCTGAATTTCAATAACACTTCCGGAGCACCATGACCTTGGCGATTTATTTTACCTGACCTTGCCCTGATGTTTGGATCTGGTAAATTGTTATGCAAATACACCTAGCTTTTAGCTCTGGAGAGTTGTTTTGATTCATGAGCTACAGTCTCCATCTTGCTTTAAATCCTTGGGATGAAGAGGCTCTTAGGTAAATAAAATTCCCAAGAAGCTTGCAAAGTGAATGTTGTTTTCCTCAGCACAGATCTTGAAAGTCATCTCAGAGCTAACCTTACCTGACATTCTAATTAGCTTTTGCAAGACTGGGATGCCGGAGAAAAGACTCCCATGAGGCAAAAGTGGAAATCACAGTAGAGTCTGAACCAGAAGGGAAGGATTCTTCCTGAGGCCATAGAGAGGCTCTCATGCGTGGACGCTGGAACTTTCCTCTTGCTCCAGATGATTCCACTGATTGGGATCTGAATAAGAAAACTATAGAATTTTGTGGTCCTTGCCTTACAGGAAGACTGGGAATCAATTAATTGTGTAGTAAGGAGGTGTGTTTGTCTGTGTATGAGTATGTGTGCATGGAGGAATATGACATTATGACCATGCCCTCGAGTGATTATCTGAGTACTTGGCATTACATGTATGTTCAAACCAGATTCCCAAGAAAGTAGTCGGTGATGAAGAACAGTTGGATCTCATCTGTTAATGGCATTCGAGAGCCGCTGTGTTACTAACCCTTTCCAGTCAGTCCCTGACAAGGACAGTCCCGTGTCCTTGGAGCCAATAGAACAGACCAAGTTCAGTTTAGAAGCAAAGTAAAGATTTTTTCTTTGATCAGAGAACAGAGAGGTGCAGGCTCGCACCCCAGAGAACGTGCGTTCCCTGACAGGCTACAGGTGGGGCTACTTTATAGGGATCTCGTCAGTGGGGAGGGGCAGAGTCCTCACCGGGCAGGCACAGCTGTGCTGCTTTTGCCCCAGACAGAGCACGCAGCGTCTCTGGGCGTGGCCCGCTGCCGCCATCTTGAATTGAGTAACCCGCGCGGTTACTGCACACCGCTCCCGAGCTGAGGCGTCAGTGTAGCCCTTTCCTACCGGTGACTCTGGTCTGGAGTGCTGAGTGTGAGGCCTCTGCACCGGCACCCCATGAGTAAGTGGAACTGGACTAAGCGCCAAGGAAAGAAAGGTTAGACTTTATTTTATTACCCGGGTTCCGTTTTTACTTCCCGGGATTGTTAATGGGTTCTGCTGGTGCCCGTTGTGTGTTCTTTAGGCCTCTCACGAGTCCTGGACTACTTGGGAATGCCTCCACTGGTTGTTCATAGAATGGAGGATGATTCCCACAGTTCTGAGGACAGTGCTGCCCTGGCTCATGATAAAACCATAGCTGAATCTTTCAAATACTGTTTGAATGGTGAAGAGCAGCCCTTCCTTCTTGTGCTTCCTCTTGTTTCTTTCTGGGCTTTTCAGTTATGCTACCCTGATTTCCTTCCCATTTCCTCATGCTGCTCGGTTCTCTTTTTCCATATCACTGTAATCGGAACATCTCTGACATGATTCTTTTTTCTCCTTTCCCCACATCTTCCTTTTTCTTTCCCCTTTTTCACACTTCAGTGATCATAATTTTGAAAGCTTTTAAAAGATTCAGTCATCAGTTCAGTGACCATTTATGAAACTCCTACTGTGTGCAGGCATTGCTGTAGAACTGTCCAGGGGAATAGATGAATAAACTCTAGTTCAGAGAAGTTGAGGATATTTTTTTCCTCCACAAAGTCACATAGTTAATGAGTGAACAAAATGCTAACATCGAGCTTATATTTTAGTGGGAGAGACAGACAATAAAACATACAAGTAAGTAAATGTAGGATGTGTTAGTTGATACTGAGGGGAAAAATAAAGCAGCAAAAAAGAAGTATTATGGAGGAGACTGGGTAGTAATTTTAGATAGGGGAGCCAGGGTAAACCCCTCTGAGAAGATTACTTTTGAATAAAGACCTAAAGGGAGGTGAGGAAGTGATTCATATGAATACTTAAAGCAAGAATTTCCGAGCAGAGGAAAGAGCAAGTGCAAAGGCCCTGAGGCAGGAGTGTTTCCAGTATGTTTGAAGAGTAGTGACGGGTCCAGAGTTGCTGGAGCAACATGACCCAGTGCAAGAGTGATGGCTGGTGAGGTCAGACAGACAATGAGGAGGCGGCGGACAAAGTAAGCCAATCATTAACTTTGACTTCTACTCTGAAAGGGATGAGAAGGCACTAGGAAGGAAAGAGTTAAGAAGAACTTACGGACTTATGTTTTACCAGGACCACTCTAGCTGCTCTGTTGATAAGTAGAGGAAAGATGGGCTAGGATGCAAGTCAGGAGACCAGGTGTGACGCAGTTGCAGTAATCCACGAGAGATAATATTATTGTCAAATCATAAAATAACTTTATTGCATTAGTGTTATGATTCCTATTCTATAGAATAGAAAATCATATCTGAGGAAAGTTGAGTTATTTGCACAAAGTCATCACATAGTGAGTGGCAGTGTGGATTAGAAATTTTAAGTTCATCCCAGCTGCATTGTTGGTAGTAAGAATCAGACAGATTTCGAAATTGGCTCACTCAGAGAAGATGAAGCTCTTTTTATTACCAGATTTGAGATGAGAACTACTAATCTAAGAACCCACGTTGGAGAGTCAAATAAACAAAAACAAATCCAAATGTTCACAATTTAAAATGTGCTTTTGTGCACGTATGTGTTTTCTGGTACCCGTCACGGGTAGACTGAAAGTTGAGATATTCGGAGGTAGCCCAGGAAAGGCTGCAGTGAAGGATGCTGTGTGAGTCAAGAACCTGGATGCTGTTCTCATCTCTGTTTCCCTATGGATGTGACATTTAACCTCCTGGAGCTCAAGCTTTCGCCTGTGTACTGGGGTTGTGGTGACAGCTCTTGGTAGTTGTCTGCATGGCAGTGCGTGGACTCCTGTGAACCCTTTCAAGTTCCACAGGAAGAGGAAGCTTCTTGTAGGGCTGTCAGTTCTGTCACATTTATAAAGGTTTGGAAAACTATCTTTTTTTTTTTTTTTTTGCCTATACCCTGACATATTTCAAGTTCTGCCCATATCTAGCTTTGTTTTTGTAGATGGCGACAATATTAAATGGCATGTTTCTCTCTGGGTCTGTCTTTTATGCAACAGTAACCATGTAGGTTTTTAAAATCAATATTCAGATGAAAAGTGTGCTCACCTTTAACTAATAACACACATGAGTCCAATTGTGCCCTCTCCCACGTAACTTCTCTGTCTCTATTGCGAGAGACCTCATGGTTATAAGAAGCTTTCTGGGTAGAAACCAAAAAATATGTGGAGTTGGTAGAGGAGCCATGGTAGCAGAATTTGAGGAGGGAATGAATCTAGAGAATCTAGAAAAAAAATAAGTCAGTTTAGAGGAGCAGACCCTGAGGGCTCATCTATATAAAGCTTAATTATTCTTTTCTTGTTAACCTAGTTAAAAAAAAAGGCTATGTCAACTTGAAACCTTGTAACATTATCTTATATTCTACTAATTAGGCATTAATTTTGGCAATAGTCATCCTCCTCTAAAAATGCAAATAACCCTCATGATTATGGGACTATCCATCACACATTAGTGTAAATTATTTTACCCCAATTGTTGTAAAATTAATATCGTGTTGGGAAGTTTGGTGGGGGGGAAAGGAATTCATTTTGTATTATAAGGGAATTTGGGGATATAGAAAAGAACCAGTGGGATTTCACTAAAGAAGTTTTGGGCAATCTGAGGGACTGGAAACAGGAGAAAAAGAGTATTAGGAACTAAGAAAATGGGGTGAAAAGGAAGCAAAAAATTATTAGTCCATCTTGACTATTTCAAATAGTGCTTAAGCTTTGCCCTTATACTGGAAAAATAAAGGGAAATGCCTTCTCTTTTGTACCACATGATCACCTATACCTGGGAAACCAAATTCAGTGCAAAGTTATTA